AGGGGAGGGTGAGTGCAGTGGTGGCGGATGGGTCTGAATTACCTGGGCGTGCAGCGAAGCGGGATAGGTGAAAGCAGGAGGAGGTAGAGCAGGTGCTAACTCCGCTGGGTACAGAGGGTACGGCCCCCACACTTCAGGGCTACTGGGGTAAAGTGCAGGCACTGTGAGCTCATCTGCAAGAAAAGAAGAATGAGAGTTAACGGTGAACAACGGGCGGCGGCCTACGCCATGCCACGCACTGCTCAGCAGCACAGCTGCTCCTTCCTTCTCCCCCCAAAGCGGGTGGGAGCAGGAGCAGAGCTTCCCCTGGAGAAGTGCAGCGTGCCAGTGCCGCCGGCGAGAGCCGACCCACAAAGCCAACACGGGGCTCAGCCGGCCGCAAGTGATGCTGTGGGGCTGGATGCGTTGCCAGGGGAGGCTGGGCTGGGCTCCTTGTCTCGGAGAGGATTAATTACCCCAGGGATCCAGCGTCGGCAGGCACAAGAGAGAGTGTGCGGCTCATGCCTGTGCGCAGCAGCAAGGAGAGGAACCAGCATCCGCACGAGAAATGCTCTTCCAGTAGCGGCAACAAGTACGACGCAACATTGCCAAGGTCTCCGCCAAGACCCCCAACCATGACTCGGAAACCCCGGCGCGGTGAAGCAGCACCACGGGCTCGTCCCGCTCCTATCTGCTGTGCCGAGTCAGCTGTCACCTGCCCCTGGGTCCTCTCCGGCACAGGCAAGCCACCTTTGAGGACCCTCGGCCACCAGCTGGCACATGCCACCAAGCTTGCAGCAAGTACATGCTGCTGCTTCCAATTGGACCTAGCATTACCCATCACCACCACCCTGCTGCATCCCTGCTCCCTCCAGCATCCCGCTCTGGGGGCCTGGCATTGCTCCTTCCACCCATAATCTCTGCGCAAGATCAAACTGCCTGAATAAAGTGTTTTCCTGAGGCAAATGAGAATGGGGCAACCCCCACGCCAGCCACCCCAAAAACTGATGGCACTGCCGTGGTGGCAGGTCGGAGGGTACCGCGCAGGGCTCCCTCAGAAGAGCCAGAGCCAGTACTTACAGGGCTCCCGGGCGATGAACTGAGGTACAGCAGTGGGGAGAGGCGTGCTGGGGTTGGGGGTGCCCACCAACTTGCTCTTGGCCATCTTGGTGTTCGCCTTGGCAAACTCCAGCCGCAGTGTCTGGGGGATCTCGGGGTCAAAGCGGATGCCCTGCAGGAGGGAAGGAGGCACGGCGGGTGGGCAAGCACTGCCGCGTGCCAGCCCCACAGCAAAAATAACTCCCAAATTTTTTTTTTTTTTCCCTACTTTCAGCCTTGAAATGAGCTAATTTGCCGGGCCCCGAGGCAGCTCGCATTCCTCCGGCATCTTTAGCATCGGCACCATATTTGGCAGTCGGCATCCCGCAAGGCTGAACTCTTATCCAGAGGGATTAGTGGAGCCAAAAAAAAACTTTTACATTGAAAATGAAGACAAGGGGAAAAAAAAAAAAACAAAAAACAAAACCTGGGGAGGAATTGGAGAACAGACTCCACACGGTTCTCCCCGTGACTGTTTGCAGGAGGTTAACTCTGCAGAGGTAGGAGGGAGCTGCTAAAGGAAAAAGCTGCTTTTTCTTTTGGAGCTTTACTTGGGATTTTTCCCACTGAAGAAACAGGAGAGGCTGGGAAAGGCGTCTCTCACTGATTCATATCTAAAGCTCTAATCCTGAGGGTTCAAGCCCTCCCGCATGGCCCTGGGAAAGGCAAAAGGGATACAGCCCCCCCAAGAGGGAGGATGCAGATAGAGATTGGCTGGAAGGATGGGGATGGGGTGAGGCCAGCTTGTGTGGGAGACACACGTTTCTGGGATGGAGAAATTTGGAGTATCCAGGCATGGGGAAATGAGGGGAAAAAAATCCTGAAAAAATGAAGTGGCTGGGCGCACTCACGTTCAGTGCGTTCTTCGCCGCCTCTGCCTCGGAGCGGCTGTCGAAGCTGACAAAGCCCACGGGCTGCGGAGGAAAGAGAGGAGGCACCATCAATCAGACTGGCAGGGAGCAGAGGGGGGACCCCCCCACCCTGGTGACTGGTGGTGCCGGGGGAGGGTGGGAGCATGGCGTGGGATGCTCGGCCTGTTTTGAGCAGCTCCTACCTGCTTGGAGGTGAGTTTGATGAGAGACCCTTCATACCCCTGCAAGAAAAGAATAAAAAAGGATGTTTGGTGGAGATCCCTGCAATTCAGCTGCCCCTTGGAGAGGGAAACCTTCTGCATCCATCACCCAGCAGCCCTACAACTGGGGGGCATCAGGTGGGCACAGGGGGAGCTTGCCAAGGCATGGGGTCTCACTGCTGCTAGATTTTTGTACAGATGCTGAATGCCTGATAATGTCATCCTTCATGTTTGAAAAGAGATGGTGTCTGAGCTGCAGGTCTGGCAGGGTGAAAAGACTGGAAAAATTTGCAGCCAACACACTTCTGCTGCTAAATGGGGTGCAAGTCAATGTGCAATTAAAATGCCAGTATAATCAAAGTGCCCAATGACATTTTCCTATGGTTTACTGGGGCAAAAAGGTGCAGAAACTTGTTTCTGTGAATAAAATGACTGAACTAGAATTCTGGGGGGAAACCAGCTGGCTCCCAGATCCCACCGAGGTTGGTGGGGCCATGGGGATGAGGCAGGGGGTCAGCCCCATGCTTCCAGCCCCTCTCTCCTGTCCCCAGTCTGGTACCTTAAAGGGCCTGAAGAGCAGGTAAAGTTCCCGGGGCTTGATGTCCAGAGGCAACCCGCTGACAAAGAGTGTCCTCACCTAGAAAAGAAAGGAGGTTCCTGGGGACCCTTCCTCATCCCTAACTTAGGGATACCCCACACCTCCCACAGCCTTAGGTGGCAGCACACCAGAGGGACAATGCCAGCCCGAGGGGAACCTCATGGGCAGCTAAAAGCCTTAAGCCACACTTGGGGGACGTAGCAGTTTGGGGAGAGGTATCCCCATCCTTCTAGTGACCGCAGAGCAAGCTGCTGAGACACCACAGAAAGGTAACGGAGACCTGTCCTCATGGCACTGAGCGCTCTCGGGGCGGAAAAGGCTGCCAGCATCCCAGCACTTTCCCACCCCTGTCTGGCAAACAGGATCTCTCCTGGCATCCCCAGCAGAGCCCTTACTCTGCAGACAATGCCTGTTGTCTGTTTAATTGCAGCAGCTCATTAAAGACCAGGAGAAGCAAACCCAAACTCTTCCTCCTGGAGGAATGGTCCTGTTTTGGAAGAGGCTGATTTTAAGCAGCCTGTCCCCGATTTATAAAAGTCACCTTTTAAGGGGTTTTGACTCTTTTTGGGTGGATCTAATGTTTGCTGTGGTGCAGCATCCTCAAAGCTGGAGTTGCTCACAAAAACACTGCTTCGGCTGACCCTGAAGGGGGATATGGGTCTCCTTGGGGATGGGCAAACCCCACCTGGGCAAGGTCTATGCTCAGACAGTTTTGCTTTACAACCAGCTTGTAACTGAGGGAGCGGTGTGGGGCGAGAGACTAATGGCTGGATCTGCTGCCGGTCCCCCTCTCCTCATCCCCAAAATCTCATCCAAACACTTTGGTAACCGATAGCCAGGGGCCTGCAGGAGCCTGGGGCTGATGATGGCCCCAACCAGTGCCACCTGAGTCCCCTCACCCACATACCCTGCCTGCGATCCCTGCACTGTATTTAGGCTCAGACTTTGCTGCAGGAGGAGCTGCTTACTTAGCAAGGCTGAGGCCTTGCTGTGTCCTGTGTGCGGGTCTGACCCTGGCTGCTGTCACCTGGCAGCTCTGCTCTCCCTGCGGCACCCAAGGATGGTGCCTGTATCGGTGGAATCTCTGCCTCGATGTCCCCCTCGGCTGGAGACTTGCTTGTGAGCCAGCCCAGCTCCTGCTGCTTCCCGTAGCATCTTACTGGGAGGTAATCTGTGGGATTTGATAGCTGATTTTTTCAGGCACCCAAATGCATTATGAGAGATTGTCTGGAGGGGCTAGACCAAGGTCACCCACCCTGGGTGCCAAGCTGACAGATTTGGCCCGAAGGAGGGGAAAACCTTGATTATTTTTATTTATTTTATTTTTGGCCAGGCACCCTGCCTCCCCGGTGAAACAGCCAACCCAGGCCTATTCTTCTGCTGACATTTCTTCTTTCTCTTGAAGATAAGCTATCTACCCCATCTCCCAGCCTGGGAGCAGCAAACATTCCTGCTTTGTGTAACAAAACCTCTGGCTGACCTATATCTATTAAATAACAAAAGGTACTCGAGGCCGTTTGCATATAGCCCTTGTGTCAACAGCTCCAAGTGATACCCATCGCTGCTGGCACCCATGGCTGCTGGCACCCATTGCTGGGTGCATGGGGGCTGCCAGAAAACAAGCTAGCCATGAAAGTATGGCCATCCTTTCTGCTCCGGCCAGGAAAGGATGCACAGAGCCTTGCCCAGAGGGATGCTGAGAGCTCCACGCTGGATGGGATCAGCGTGGGCATGTCCTCCCCCTTTCCTGAGCCAGGGCTGCAGCTAGGCACAGCTGTGGTAGCCCGCCCCTCTACTGGGACCATCCACAGTCGGCTGGAAGCCCCCGCCCCCCTCAAGGGGCCTTGGGGGACCCCTGCCCATTTTCTGCCTATCTGAGGGGGGATCCCAAGGTGTTCAATGCTGCACAGTCTCCCAGTGGAGACACTGCCCGAATTTCTTCTGGCAAGGCCTGGGGAGGGATTAATCCAGAGGAGCTTCCCTTGCATCCATTAAATTCGACATATAGAAGGCAAATTTATCCTTTCCTAGGGAAAAAAAAAATTCCCCTTCAGACAGGTCTGCCTGAGCATGACTGCTATCCAGGGAATCAGCTCACCAGACACATCCCAGCTCCTGGCTGCATTTGTCTCCCACAGAAGCTGATCATCGCTGCGTGGGGTGTGTGTGTGTCTCCCATCTCCATCATCCCTCAAGCTTCTGGTCCTGCCCAGCACACCAGCCTCCTGCCTCTCCTCTCCCCCAGGAGCTGCCTGAAACACCAGAGGCGTCAGAGACAGCTCCAAGGGGAACCCACTGCCAATTTGCCTGAAATCCAAACCTCTACAAGCCCAGCTTGCTAGGTCATTTAGCCCCATAGCCATGTGGCAGAGAGATGGGAGAGATAAAAGACCCTGAAAAACCCTCCGAAATTCAGCCTCGCAAAGGAAGGGCTTCTCTTCGGTAATGACTTGTTTTCTTTGAAAGTTCAAACATGGGTCGGCCAAGTTTTAAACCGTAAAATTATACAGTGGCGAGTGAGAGAGGGAGAAGGGCTCCAAAGGATCCCCCAGCTGGTTTCCAGCCCCAAAAGGATGTTTTGGGGCCAGGAGGGAGGGAGGGAGGAGATACGAGGTCATGGGTGCTCCCTGTCTGCACCCCACAGAAGGGTGCCAGGGGGCTGGCATACCCAGCCGGAGATGTTTGAGTAGGTCCTGCATAAACAGCATCCTTTTGCTGGGCTGGGTAACAAGCAGGTGGGAGGATTAGGGCTGTGTTAAAACGAGGTGGGACGGGCGGAGAAAAGGAGCGTCTTCGGGGATAATTCCCAGCAGGCTGGACGGATATCCTTTTGCCAAGGGAAAGATTTTAGGCGGAAATATTACTCCTGCCCTTAAATGGAAGAGGAGCTTCAGCCCGCAGGGAGCTGCTCCAGGCTTTCCTGTGCTGAGAGATCCCAGGGGCTCAGCCTCCATCCTCTACGAGAAAGGCTCCCAGGGCAAAATCCTGCCCTTGAGGGGGAAAAAAAAAAGCCTTATCAGATAAGATGCTGGCCAGCAGGCAAGCATATGTTCTTCCACAGAGAAAAATTACCCCTTCTCAGAGGTGGATCAGGCAAGACGTGCTCCCAAATGTCTTGCAGGACAGGGCCAGACCTACAGCTCCAGAGCAAGGATAAGCAAAGGGTGCTCAAGCATGGCCGTGGGATTCCCGCAGCACAGAGACCCCCCCAGTCTAGGACAGCCCCAGCTGTTTCATTTCAGTTCTGCTGTGCAGATATTTTTCAGTTTCTTCTTGGTGGAGCATTTCTCCATCTCTCCTTCTTGTTACAATTTGGAGTGAAAACAAAGGTTTCTTTCAGGTCAGAAGTGCTGATGTTTGCTCCAGGAAGCTGCTGGCCATGGGTGCAGGACCTTGCAGGTGACCACCACATTGATTTCCTTCAGCAGAGATGACAGCTACTGGATGGCACAAGGAGCACACAAAGTCCCCTTGCCACAATCCTCTGCTCCTGCTGCTGTGCCCCACAGCTCCCAGATTTGCCAGGGGTGCTGGATCCCAACTCTGCCACCTTGCTCCTATTTTGTCCTGGCTTTTATTGTCCCCACAGAATGTCTTCTCTTAGCCTCTGCTACTCTGCTCTCCCTAGGAAGCCATCTCCATCCTGCTTCTGGCCTGTCCCTCTCAACTCTGCTCCTCTGTGTCCCACCATCACCTTCTGCTGTCCCCAAAATACCATGTCCCATCTGGGGCCAGTTTAAGGGGTGCTGGAGAAGGTCGGGGAAGGGGGGTTTGCTGGGACAGTCAGGGCTGGGGACAAGCAAGGAGAGGTGTGGACCTGGGCCAAGAGGTGACTGGAGTCTCCAGACCACAGTTTAAGGATGGCCTCAGCTTGGGGAGGTTCATGGCAGAGTGCTGGCAGCCCTCCTCCTCCTCTCCCTCACATGAAGCTACAAGCCAGGTTTGTCTCCTGAAGGTAAGCAGGAACCAGGGAAGCATTTGCCTGCCTTGGACCCCCATCAGATGCCAGGTGCCCTGAGGGATGCCGGGTGCCCCACTGGCACAGTCACGCTCCCTTGCCCCTGCGCAAACCACCCCCAGTAAACGTTAACAGGCCGGGGGCCGGAGGGGAGAGGCAGAAGGCGTCCGGGTGATTCATTCACAAGGCATTTAATCGCCTCCTTCAGCCCCAGCTCCCTGTCCGCCACCTTTCAGCAGGGGCTCGCTTTTAATTCTCCACCAGCCGATTAGTCGCTTGACTGCCCGCCGCCGGGGAGGCACCGCCGGGCAGCCGGAGCCCAGTGGGAGCAGGAAGGCAATGGCACAGGGCTGCGATCGAGCCATAAAACAGGGCAAGCGGAGCTTCCCCCCGCCTCCCCAGCAAAGTGGGGTGCTGCCTCCCCCGCGGCAGGATTAGTCCTTGCGTAAATACTCTCTCTGCTAATGGAGCGTCCTCCTCAGCTGGGTTTAGATTCCCGGGCTGTGTGTACGCACGCCATCAACCCGCAAAACTCCCCGACATAAACAAGTCTGAGGCCAAGGGATGCTGGCTCTGGCTCCTCCGCCCCTGGGATGCAGGAGGACTCGGCTTAGCCTCCAACCCTGCCACCCGTAGCCATTTCTCCAAACCAGTAGCCAAACATCCGGCAGAGGACCGGGGGAGAACAGCAGCCCTTGGGGAAGAGCGAGTCCAGAGCTGCCAGGGCTGGAACGAGGAAGCGGCAGAGGAAAAGCCAGTGAGAAGCCAAGGGAGCAGATGGGGGATTGCAACAGAGCAGAGGAGCAGCGGGCACGGGTGGGGGTCACGCACGGCTGTGTCCCGCCCGGGGCTTGTTCCCAAATCCTCCAGACCCCGCGCTTAAAGGAGGAAAGGAAGCAGGGCATGGGCGGATGCCATGCAGGGGTCATGGGGGCAAAGCTTATCTGCTCATTGGGCACCTTCTCCCCAGAAACTGTCCCTGGGGTCGCCTCCCCACACCCGGTCTCCTGGGATGATGGATCTGGCATGGGATGGGGACAAGGGCCACAAGCTGGGCTCTCTGGAGCCGCTCTGCTACCAAATAAGGCCTCCGTCGAGCCTTTTACGTGCCGTTCTCGCCTGGCTGAAGTGACGTGACCTCCTTTCCAAATTATTCTGCCTTCCCCCGACAGACTCCTCTGTTGGGAACCTTCCCCAGCAAACAGGTCCCCCGCACCAGGAGGGGTCCTTCCCGGTGTGGGGAGGCGAGAGGATGAGAAGGCCACCCTGGGGTGCCAGGAGCAGGCAGCAGGACTCCTGTCAGCCTGGGGAGGAGGCAGGAGGAGCGGGGCC